GGCTGTGAGCTGTTGCCCTTTTTGGACGCCATTTCTGCTCCTCCATGCTGTCACAGACAGTGGACGGTATGGGTGGGGCTCGGTCTAGTGATCTATATTCAGGTCTATGGAAGTGCCTCATTTGATTTAAAGATACAGTGTCAAAACAAGTTGATCTGAGACACATCAGAGAATGGGTGAAATAGGGGCTTGTGGAGTTACAGTAAGGACAAATTCAGACCAAAACATTGTAGTTCTACTTTATATGGACTCCAACTGAATGATAATGTGAAAACGAAGAATTTAAAAGCATGAAATGTCTCCTTATAGTCTCAAAATGCTCAAGTAAAGGCTGATTAAAATGCGTTCATCTTGTGTTTGCAGGCGCCCTTACAGTTGGTCTCGTTCGACAATGTCAGACCATCCATGGACGAGATCGAACCTGTATCCCACCACGGCTGCCCCCTGAGTGGGTCACCACGCTTTTCTTCATCATCATGGGCATCATTTCCCTCACGGTCACCTGCGGACTTCTCGTGGCGTCACATTGGCGCCGAGAGGCCACCAAATATGCCCGCTGGATCGCCTTCACTGGCAGTAAGTAAACGACGATGACATTCGCGTTGAAAGGAGGAGCTGTCCTCGTTGGACTTAACTTAAGCACATTTCTCTGAAAAGTTCTTTCTTGCCTCGGTGTTAGTGTTAGTTCATGCATATAGCCTCCTTACGTTAGGGTGAGAAGGAAAGGAGAAAAGCTTAAGTAGGTTTAGTGTGAGAATAAATGACTCTTAGCTCAGATTTTAGTTTATTTTCATGTTTGTGTGTGAATATGTGCATTATGCTCCTCTTGCCCCCTTAAGCTGGTCTGTGGACAAATGCAGCCTTTTTTGTACTCAAGTGGGTGGTTTATGCTGCCACATTCTTTCTCTAGTGTTTTATCGCCCTCTTTGTCTTGAYAAATACAGTATTCTTTTTTTTTACGAGACGTTTGTATAAATGCACTTGTAGCACTCGACAGTAAGCCACATCCATCTTATGCACTACACCCAGGCTGTGTGGGCTGGTGGAGTTTGATTGGGTCAGCTAGTTGGGGAAAGCGACGGCCCTGAGCGCGATCATACTGAGTGGTGGTATGTTGGAGCCACAATGGCTTTTATTATTGATAGAAAGCTGCAAGCATTTTTCAGGGTGCTGATACAAAAATGAAAAAATGGGCTGTGGATTTGTACACACAGTTTTTTTTTTGCTTTGTTCCCGTTTTTTTTTTTTTTTTTTTTTCTGGTCTCACAGTTTTGTAGTTTTTGTAACACTTCCTAATCAGCTGGTGAATCACCCCATGTTCAGAATCCCAAACAACTCCACAAACTTGCTTTCCATGAAGTTGCAGCAGATAAAGTTGAGTCATTGTTTTGCAATCACACCCAAAGGGAAGAAAGAAGGTTCCTGTGATAAGTGTGAACAGTTGTTGTCCTTTGTCCTCTTGTTGAAATTGTCTACTCGCCATATTCAACGTGTTCAACCAGGTCTATTTTTCGTTTGCATTGAGACTTTTTGAAATTGATCATCACATCAGTTCTGTTTTGTGTGCAGGGTATTTTGACAGATCTGCTGATGATGATTTGTGTTTCGGTTATGCCCACCAAATGGAGAAAAAAAAAACATCTAATTAATCACCTCAGGCTGTTACAGCATCATAGCGGTGCACACAAATTCATCAAGAAGTTAAATCTATTTTGTCACAAACTTGTTATAATCATTTAAGGCACTCGTGCACTGGACTACATGTTTTATAATTTTTTAATATTTTTTTTCTCATTTCAGTCAAATTGATTTTCTTTATAAAATTGATTTCAATCAGTTGTCCAGCCTGTGTTTGTGTTTGTCAGCTGCAGAAATGGCAGCGTTAAATTGAATCGGCAGGAAATTAACACCAAACGTTTTCAGCCAACTGCAGAAGGCGGATGCGTATATTTTGCCATGGAAACACAATACATGCGCTCTGCTCAGATGTTATTCAGCCTTATTGTGTGACGTGATGCACACAGACACACACACACAGACACAGAGCATTTTTTCTTTTGCTGAAAATGTGAACAATGTGGCGTTTAACACCAAGTTCTCCTGAAAAGCTTGATCTTCAGTTCAGGTTTTGAAATCTGTAGCGGACCAAACTTTAAGATCATCGTTGAAACATCATTAAATTTACTAACACTGGCTTGGTGTTTATTTACAGCACTGTAGGGTTGGGCAAAATCTTATCATGTGTAATTAATCGTCAGAATAACATTAATCGATTATTTTTTTGGCACTTGACGAGTAATAGGATTAATGCTGCCAGGCAGACTGACTGATTTCCCCGGTCAGTCCGCTCGATGCTCTTCTCCAATTCAAATATGACYAACATTTAAAAAAAAGTTCTGTATTTTATTTGTATTATCTCTGGGTTTACTTGATCTATCAACACAGTTAAAAAAATTATGTATAGCCTGAAGTCTGTACTTTGGACACAATTTGGAACAGATTTTTATGGAGAGCAAATATTTCCATTTTTAATCTAATCTTTAAATTGGTCATGTGACCAGGATATTAAGGCATCCAGGGACTCCAGGGGATTAATCATCATATTAATCGATATCGGCTAAATACCACAATTAATCCTGATGAATTYCTTTGCCAATATCACCCAACCCTYCTGCACAGTGATTTTAATTTTTTTAAATAAAGMTTTTTWGTAAATACTGAGGCAGCTTCCATTAGAAATGAAACATTTGTTTACCTTTTGAACAAGCYTTTTAAGGTATTCTTAAATGTCATTTTGTTAATGTATGTTCAAAACTTCTGTCTGACATTTAAAAGTTTTGTTAAACTTGAATTTTCTTTTGATATTTAATCAGTAAAAGGGTCAGTGACACCTTTTTTAAAGCTGATTTAAATCCTCACATTATAAACATTACCTCTTAAGTTAAAGCTAATTCATTTTTGAAATCTTGAATAGGCCTGTCACAATAAACAATAAYTCAGTTAATCATATGATAAATTAAAAAGAGGAAGATAAATTAATTCAATTCAGTTCAGTTTATTTATATAAGGCCAAGTCACAACTGTTGTCTCAGGACACTGTACACACAAAAAAGAATAAATCTAAAGAATTAAAATGAAGACGATAATTTTCATTTGCATGCTTTTTTGTTTTCTTCGTGTCTCTTTTTTTTACTGCTTAGCGTAGAGAGAAGTAAACTCTGGTGTCAGGTATRTGCCTGCTGCTTGGTCTCCTACCCTGTAGCATGAAAGCCTGTGAACAGGCATTTAGCTACAGGAGCGTCTTCAGATTTCTGATGCTTTAATACAGCTGTTTGCCGACAATTGTTTTTTTCTTTTTACACTATGTACATTTTAATGTAAACAGGGGGATTATGTTGTTATATTAGTTTAAACCGGTCTCCAACAATATTATCATTTATCGCAATAATTTCTGAGACAATTTATCGTCCAGTAAAATTTGTTATCGTGACAGGCCTAATCTTGAAAATGAATTTATTTATATTGTCAGTATAACAACTGCAAAATAAAAAGGAAAAAGAAAAGGAAGAAAAAAATCCCCGGGAACCATAGGTTTTAGAATTTGTTTTGTCAAAATGCTGTTTTTTTTTTTATGAAGCTTTTAATCGGTTCTCTTCCTGCTTCCTTCCAGTGATCCTGTTCTGCATGGCAGCACTCATCTTCCCAATAGGCTTCTATATCAACGAGGTGGGAGGTCAGCCGTACAAGCTGCCCAACAACACGGTGGTCGGCTCGTCATACGTGCTCTTCGTCCTCTCCATCTTCTTCACCATAGTGGGACTGCTGTTTGCAGGGAAAGTCTGCCTCCCAGGCTGAGGACTGCACCACGCCGGCCTCTGGACTCAAACAGGAGGCTCTGAAAAGTTTGATGGGATTTACAAAAACAAAAACTCTACTGAAAATCAAAGACAACAAACTTTGTCGCAAAGCCTGAAAACAGGGAAGACCCCATCCCCACAACCCCATGCTTTATGCGTCAAAGGGACCGCAGGCACCATGGAGAACCTAACTACTAAAAGACGAAAATAAAACAAATTTAAAAAAAACGAATAAAGCGATAAAATGGGACATGGGCACAGTAGAATGTGACGGAGGGCAGCCGAGGCCTTCGCAGCAGCCCGCCGCTGCTGATTTCAGTTGCGACCGTCTCCTCTGTTGTTGTTCWGCTGGAAGGGGGCGGTGCTTAATGTGCCGCTGTCATGGCAACCGCTGCCACAATGCTGGCACACATTTCTCGAGGATCGCTGCAGCCGCTCCTCCACTTCATTTCCAGTCGCCCTCCGCGCTCATTTGCTTCGTCACGACTGCTCCTCCTGCTATTTATGGCTTCWCTTTGCTATTTTCAGTTTTCAATTTTTGTACAATTTCTTCTTGTTTTCCCTCCTCTCCTTCCGTGCGCAGCGCCTCTCCACTGAAGCAGCGTTAGCGTCGTTGAGCTTCACCAAGCAGAACCCCTTGAACGGGGGCTTGGCTCGAGAGCAGGTTGTATTTTCGTCTGCCGTATCTCACGGCCCCAGGTGTGCAGATGAGGAGAGCAGCTGCACATCTGGCTGGGTTTTATTTTTTTGGCGCACAGCTGTGGWTGAGAGGTAGAGGCAGGTGTGCTTCCTCTTTATCTTCTCCGGTTTGAACGTAGGAGCAGGTAGAAGRGCGGCGGTGACCTCGCTCACAAAACGTGGAGGTCAGACACCATAAAGGAGAATGCCACTCAGTCTATTACCATACATAACATTTAATTATACAGACAGCAACAAAGTATTTGTGAAGGCAGCTCAGCTTTATTCAGGCCAGCTGTGGTGCAGTGGTAAGGCAGCTGACTTGGGACCAGAAGGTCACAGGTTCGGTTCCCTCCGTGCTCCCCGAGTGCTTCAGCATATAGCTGCTCACTGCTTCACTTGAGTGTATCAGGTGTGATGGATGCACAAAGGTCATCGTTGTATGGAAACATGCTTTGATGACACAACATACTAGCACATTACTAAAGCTAATAATGCTGATGCTCGCCTCCTTTGACTGTGAACTCAGAGAATATTCACCTGGACATAAACTCGTCTCTTAAGCCATGTGGCCATTTGAAAGTATTTTCTAAAATTCAACATCATAAGTTTTGACAGTATTTAATTTTCTCTACAGACAGTAAAATTACATACAGTATGGTGTGAAAATAACACGTGAACACTGATAAGTCGTGGTATTCTCCCTTTTTAAAGTTTGATCGKGGAAAAAGTGAGTCAGGAACAGTTTTTTTGTTMTTGTTTTATACAGTGAAGGCACTGGGACTGCAGGTCAGGTCCYTGCATGGCACTGTACCTCGGGATGCTGCTCGAGAGGTCTGTGAATGTGACACACACACACACTCTCAACACAATTTGTGAATTGACATATAGAAGCTGCAGATATTAAACACGTTCATTGTTGATTACAGATCTAAAGCTTCCAATAGGTGCTTCTGTCATAGTATTAATTAGTGCATTTGTCATGAATTTAGATTTATCTGCTAGTAGAGCTTCAAAAGGTCCAGACAAACTGACTTTTCTTGTCATGATTCATACTTTTTTTGGTGACTGAAGGTTGTAAAAAGAAAGTGTCTCACCTTGAAATAATCAAAGCCATTTTCACACAGGCAGGCCTGAAACGTCCCTAGACATTTTCTGAAGAGGGTTTTATTTGAGAGCTCTAGTCYGCAGTAGCTAAAATAAGAGTTGTTTTTCAGATTTTACCCAACTTTCAGCATCCAAATGTGAGAAGTAACAAAAAAACAAGTAACAAAAAAAGGTACAATGAGCAATTGTCTGCTTTAAAAAAAGAAAAAACTAGTGTGCACAACTCCAGTACAAAAAAGGAGAGAGTAAATGAGTGCACAAAGAACAAACTCAAGTTTGAGGCAAAAACACAACTTTTACTGAGTACCTTATATACAATCATCCTCTGCCTTGTGTGCACTTCTCATACTTGAAGTATTTTTAGTTGTAGTTTAAGTCTCTTTTGGAAATAATGTTCTGGACTTGAGTCGTTTTATATCTGCTTCACTCACTTGTGTGAAACGACATGAGCTGTAAGCCAGGATTTGAATATTTTTAATCTAAACCAGGTAACATTTGATCAAATTTGCACCGTCACCATCAGTATGAGCAGTGCAGAAAATGGCAGTTTGACTTGGATTTTGCTTCTTTTCGTGACACCTTTAAAACATTAGATCTCTGAGGAGGAGGGGTGGGGGCGGGGGGATCACCAGACTTCCTGTTTCCTGTTAAATCTCGGTGACATTTTCTCAATCCGGACCACGGCTGACTTGATCATCTCTGACACTGAAGCAATGCATGTTTTCACTTTCACTGACTCTCACAGAACAATACATCACTATTAGCTCCCACTTTTTTTAACACTTTACTTTCCCACTGTTTCCATATGAATAAGCTGGACAGTTTACAAACTTCTGCTTTATCCAGATCAAAATTTAAGGCAGACAAATGTCTTCCATCTATGAAATTTGAAAAAACAAAACAAAACAAAACATGAATATTAAAAGCCTCTCAGCAGGTTAAACAGAGCCAACCTTTAATTAATCAGTTCTTACAAATCATTTCACGATGCTAATGATCATTTACTGTAATTAACAAGCAGTAGACTGATACTTTTTTCTCGTCTAGTCAACGTATCACTGCTCCTGTTTTACATATTTATATACATCCTGTTTATGCTCAACCAAATATGGGATCATATAAGCTACTGACTCTCAGATCTCTCATGCAAAGGATGTGTTTTGGTGTGTGTGTGTCGAAACATTCACAGTTGCTCCGTTCGCCAAGTCTTAGATTCTTGTTTTCTATTTCTGTTTCCTGCTCGGCTTTTCTTAACTCTTAGTCTAACGATGTATACAGCTGAACTTTACATTCTGCCTCGGTTGGTTTAGTATTGTGCCATGGCCTGTTTTTTGTTTAAAATTGTACAGATGACACAAAAAGGCAGGATTTCTGTATTAGGAAGCACTGTGCATTCAACAGTATAGGTAACAGACATAGAAACACCACYGTTGTATAAAAAAGGAGAACTTCTTACCTCATTGTTTTTTTTTTCCTGCTATTATTTTCTAATGGTGGCAACGTGTGTGCCCTCTGATTTGTRTCCTGCCTTGATCGGATGTCTACACATTAAAGCCTATGATCATAGGAAATTATTTATCACTGAATAAAACAACAAAAAAATGGATGTGTGACTCTGACACTGTCTGTTTTGTGTTTATTTATTGGATTTTTTTTTTTTTTAAAAAAAGCATGGATTTGTTTTTTTTTGTGAAACTAGATGCAGATTTGTTGCCTTTTTTGCACAAATTAGCAAAAAAATCCAAACCCATTTTATTTTTAAATGGCTAATTTCTCTCGTGTTTATCATCCATTCAGCAGGACAACAAGGCTCCTCCATTCACTGGTTGCTTCCTCCCTGTTGCTGCGCAGCTGAAGATAAGACGGCACCTTCGTTTGACCTGCACCACCACAAAAAGCTAAAAAGCCCAAGTCGTGTTTCTTTGTAGGTTTTTAGAAAAACAAGCATCCATCTCTGGGAATCACATCTGRCCACTCCTCTCTGGACTCAACCATGGGCAGACCTATATGAAGTCATTATTTAAGTCCAGCGTCAACTTTATCTGGTTTAGTTTTTCCACCGCCACAGAGGTTTAGCTCTTTTTCTTGGTTGATAGAGCCAACTGCTTATTGTGCTTCTGGAGATATGAAACGCATCAAGAAATCCAAGGTATTTACTACTTCCATCTGTTCCTGCAGCAGTTTCAACATAAGGCAGAGATCACCTTGAAGAGTCCCGGGACGTGACTGGAAGAGGCTGCCAGCTGATCCACAGATGAATAAACAACTTAAGAGTCAAGTTATGTCACAGGCAGGAGCAGCTTGTATTTGAGCTAAATGTTAAATTCAGTRGAATTGTTGAGCAAAAAGAACTTATCTGTCAGATATTCACCTGACAGCAAAACGACTGAAGTAGTTTATGTAGCAATTAGGTCTCTGGATTGAGCCAAAATTTCACCAGCTGAGAAAATAACTACAAATTCCTTAGAACCATTTTTTGTCATTCCCATTTTTAAGAAAGATAAAGAAAACAAGTATAATGTTGACTCAAATGTTTTTAAGGCAGGCCCTGTAAGATTTTTCCAGAGAACTTGTACAATCAATATTAAAAAAAACAAGATGAAAATAAGTAGGTCATCTGATGACTCACCTAATATTTATTTATTTATTTATTTATTTATTTATTTATTTATTCGTCTACCTAGGTTACAATCAATGTATAAAAAGGTCAAAATACATGATGAAAGTTACGGTGAGTTTGAATTCAACTATTAAATCTCTTGGGTAATTATATGCGTATAGCACTGGCTTTCATTTCTAAATTCTATACTTGTCACGTTTAGATCAAGAAAGTTGTTTTATTGGAAAAAATTAAATGTAACGAGGCCTTGCATCTTTTTTTATTTTTAATTTGTTGCGTTGCCTGCTTTTCTTGTCAGCTGTATCACTGGGGGCTAGTCCGGGATCAGCAGTCAAAAGGGTACGGGTCGCCACAAAACAAACGGGGAGATTTTGATTTCTTATTTATTAATATTTTTTAGTTCTTTTAAAATTAAACAAGAAAAAAATATTGCTGCAGTTGACCCTCTTGCTACAATTTATTTTAGACAAAATCAGTTTTGTGATTTGATTACSAGCCAGAATAAAGGAAGTGTAATTCTTAGACAAATAGCTACAGCTTGACTAACAATTAACTGTAAAATATAGTGTTCAGTTACTCACATGTGTGTAAAGGACAAGGCATCAAACACAGAATTAAGACTTGAATGTAAGAACCAAAGCCATAAAAACTACCCATCGGCTAGGCTAATAGGCTCAGCCARTTAATCAGTCGTGGATACCCCAGGCAGGAAGTTTCAGCATCTTATCAACAACTCCTTCAGATTCTGGCCTCTCCCTAGAGGCATGCTGTCACATCAATGGATGTTCTCCCAATCATGTGACCAGAAACCTTCGACAATAGAGAAAACTGAGTTCTAGTGAAAATCATTTTGTAAATGTTTTCAGGCATGTATCTAACTGAAATGTACCTCCTGCTCTGAGAGACCATACTGTCTAGTCATCCAGATCAGTCTGTACTTAAAATTATCATATTAATCACAAAATATTCACACAATAGTTTATAAAAATACATCATGTTTCACCTAAGAAAAACTACAGAATGTGTGGTGCTTTTAAAATCAGMAAGTAAACAAATCCCAAGAAAGATACGATTTTCTTTTGTCTGCTTGGAATATAAGATAAGCAATATTTAGCAAACAGAAGCAGGTTTACTAAAATAAATATTTTTAAATCTCTTGAGCACTGAAACCCTCACTAATAGGTGCTTTAACATGACATAAGCTGAGTGGGCGGATGAAGTGGTAAGAAATGTTTCAGCTTATGTTGCAGCTCGTTCTCCTGTATTTCATAACCTCCATCTGAAAAGGATACATTTGTTAAATCTTTCCTTCTCTGAACATTTATGGGTTGCAGTTTGGTCACTTTYCTCGGTCAGGATAGAGTGATGCTCTGGCGAGTGCAGACAGCTGCCATCTGTTCATGAGCAGCTGAACTTTGTGCTCCACCTGAAAAAAATCAACCTTTTGATAATGGTGTCATCTGTCATTCTGTCTGTTCTAATACGAGGGCAGCAAACTTACAGATGCACAAAAAATGATATACACTCACCGGCCACTTTATTAGGTACACCTGTCCAACTGCTCGTTAACACTTAATTTCTAATCAGCCAATCACATGGCGGCAACTCAGTGCATTTAGGCAMGTAGACATGGTCAAGACAATCTCCTGCAGTTCAAACCGAGCATCAGTATGGGGAAGAAAGGTGATTTGAGTGCCTTTGAACGTGGCATGGTTGTTGGTGCCAGAAGGGCTGGTCTGAGTATTTCAGAAACTGCTGATCTACTGGGATTTTCACGCACAACCATCTCTAGGGTTTACAGAGAATGGTCCGAAAAAGAAAAAACATCCAGTGAGCYGCAGTCCTGTGGGCGGAAATGCCTTGTTGATGCCAGAGGTCAGAGGAGAATGGGCAGACTGGTTCGAGCTGATAGAAAGGCTACAGTGACTCAAATAACCACCCGTTACAACCGAGGTAGGCAGAAGAGCATCTCTGAACGCACAGTTCGTCGAACTTTGAGGCAGATGYGCTTCAGCAGCAGAAGACCACACCGGGTGCCACTCCTTTCTGCTAAGAACAGGAAACTGAGGCTACAATTTGCACAAGCTCATCGAAATTGGATAAGAGAAGATTGGAAAAACGTTGCCTGGTCTGATGAGTCTCGATTTCTGCTGCGACATTCGGATGGTAGGGTCAGAATTTGGCGTCAACAACATGAAAGCATGGATCCATCCTGCCTTGTATCAGRGGTTCAGGCTGGTGGTGGTGGTGTCATGGTGTGGGGAATCTTTTCTTGGCACTCTTTGGGCCCCTTGGTACCAATTGAGCATCGTTGCAACGCCACAGCCTACCTGAGTCTTGTTGCTGACCATGTCCATCCCTTTATGACCACAATGTACCCAACATCTGATGGCTACTTTCAGCAGGATAATGCGCCATGTCATAAAGCTGGAATCATCTCAGACTGGTTTCTTGAACATGACAATGAGTTCACTGTACTCAAAWGGCCTCCACAGTCACCAGATCTCAATCCAATAGAGCATCTTTGGGATGTGGTGGAACGGGAGATTCGCATCATGGATGTGCAGCCGACAAATCTGCGGCAACTGTGTGATGCCATCATGTCAATATGGACCAAAATCTCTGAGGAATGCTTCCAGCACCTTGTTGAATCTATGCCACGAAGAACTGAGGCAGTTCTGAAGGCAAAAGTGGGTCCAACCCGTTACTAGCGTGGTGTACCTAATWAAYTGGCCGGTGAGTGTAGATGAACACTAGTAATTTGTAATGTAACATGTTTAAAGAGGTTCATACTTTTATTTGAGGGTTTTTTAACTCATGAAATAGTGTGTGCTTTATTTTAAGTATATGTATTTGTAAATTATCTCATTAATGTTTACATTCATTAACATTAAATTCTGAGCAACGAGGAACAAGTTTTCATTGAGGATTTCTTTGTATTTTAGATTTCCGTTAACGCTCACCACTCTCTCCAGTGGGTCCCTGCAGTACTTAGGGATAGTTTCTTGTTGTGTGGGTGTGGGTGTGTAGTTTGTCCTCACCGTGATTGGTTGGATTGATTTGTCTTGTAGGGCAGTTTCAAAGAGGATGGTAATGGTAAAATTATTGTGAACATGTAAATATAATGTATTGACGGTCCATGTTCAGTTTAAAACAGAATAATGTCTCAAAAATTACCGTGAACATGTAAACATAATTTATTGACTTTAAAATTCACAAAGCAAGCACCTTCCTGTCTCAAGTTAAGACTAATATTAATTCATATTCATATATAGCAATCTTTTTACAGGCCTGTTAGGGCTGTTTTGACCTAGCTGAATTGTTACACATCCCACCACATGTAAGACATTCAGATTTTGTGCAGCWAGCGCCTTCCAGACATATCYTGTCTTGGACAAACTCCTCCCACAAAACAAGGAACTCATACTTAGTGACTGAGACACCCTTCTCACTCTCAGAAAACACACCATAGCATAATGCTGCCACCACCATGCTTCACTTCTGGCATGATAATGGACAGGTGATGTGTGATGTCTGGCTTCCTTCAGATATATTGATTTGAATGAAGGCCAGACACTTTGACTGTGGTTTGTTCTCCCCATTTGAGATTTTTCCAGTACTGCATAGGAGATTTAGGGGTAAAATGGTGCTGCATTATTAATAAAATTATAACTAAATCTTAAATGTTATTCCATATTAGTATTCCAGACTTGTTTTCATTAAGCTGCTTCTTTCATTTGTAACATCTGTGCACAAAAAAAGCCTCAAGCAGTTAAAATACCATTTTTCGACATTTATTTAAAATGACACATTGATTTTTTTTTTCCGGGGGTGATATGCTGTTGCTAATTTTAACTGCCTTCAGCTTTGATTGATCTTTAAGTGGGCAGCGGAGGCCCAGCCGACGATGCAGGGATGTCTGTCTGCTGATCATCAGCATCACCATTTAAATCAATCCTGCAGCTGCTAAGGCAAGAAAAACAAACACAAGAAACAGAG